AGGCCCCTTTACAGCCAATGCCGGTCATAGACACCCCCTTCGCGAGGGTAGCCCTGGACATTGTGGGGCCCTTACCCCGTAGCAGTTCCGGCCACCAGTATATTCTAGTCATGGTGGACTACGCGACACGGTAACCCGAAACCATCCCGTTGTGAACCGCAATGGCTCCCCGGGTGGCAGAAGAATTGATAAAGTGGGTCGCGAAAATGGGGGTCCCTAAAGAAATCCTGATCGACCAGGGCAGGAATTTCATGTCTGGTGTCACGAAGGTGGCGTGTCGGACCCTGCAAATACGGCAGATACGGACCTCGGTGTACTACCCCCAAACCAACGGGCTGGTGGAACGCCTTAATGGCACCCTAAAGAGGGTATTGAAATGGTGTATCCAAGAAGATCCTCGGAAGTGGCATTTACTGTTGCCGTTAGTCCTATTCTCGCTCAGAGATACCCCCCAGGACTCCATGAAATTTTCCCCGTTCGAGCTAGTCCTCAGGCATCACCCGAGAGGATGGCTGCAGGTCCTCTGAGAAGAGTGGGAGAGGGACGCCGGGGGCCTGCAGGACCCAGCAAGGTATCGCCAGGCTTTCCAACAGAGGATACGAACGGCCCAGAGCATAGCTCGTGAGAATTTGAGAAATGCCCAGGTGCGGCAGAAGGAGAGATACGACAACAGCACCAAGGAGTGGGCCTTCGAACCAGGGCAGCGAGTACTAGTGTTATTACCCACGTCCACGAGCCGTTTCCTAACACAATGGCAAGGCCCCTTTGAGATCCTATGGCGAGTCGGGCCTGTGGACTACGAAGTGCACTGGCCAGGACATCGACGAGAGAAACAAATCTTCCACGTAAATTTGCTGCGGGAATGGAAAGAACCAACGGGCTGGGTAACGTTCGGGGAGACGGAAGGGGAGGATTTGGTGCCCCAAGAGCCACAGCGAGACGTGACGCCGCCCAGCGGGGTAGAGCAGCTAATCGAGATAGGGGAAGACTTGTCTGAACCGCAGAAGCAGGAAACATGGAAGGTAATTCGGGAATTCCGGGATGTGTTCTGCAAAGAGC